TAAAATCTAGTTCATCTCTGAATAGATACTCAACACAGCTGTTAGAGAAAGGATGCCACATATACCACATACCAGAACTCTTCCCTCCCACCCCCCAGTCCAGACATTTGCAACAAAGAAGTGCTCAAGCATGCTACTGCAAAATTCTGCTTATAACAAAACCATTACATCAAGAGTTTTGACAACCTTTCCTTGAAGAGTTTGCAGAAAGTAAATTTTTGTGCAGTATCCTGACTTGGTTCTGGTCAAAGGCACTGTACTCTCCATGCTTTTCTTTTCAGTTTGAGTTAAATTTGGTTATGTACATTATTTTTCTCTCTTAAAAAAAAAATCTGTGACTTTTAAATGCCTTTTTTTTTTTAATTGGAGTGTAAAGCAGTGTTGATTGCAATTATTTAGTTGTATACAACGGCTTTATTAAAAATAAAAGTTCAGCAAGAAAACTCCTGGGTGCCATGTTCTAGGCCATAAGGCCTTTTGTCTCTGATGTGTGAAGCTGTGTTTTCATTATATGGTTTAAGTTGGTATTGCTGTCAAAAGTAACAGTTGTCCTATTTCCATGCATCTTCGTCAAGTATTTGTGCGAGGAACTAATCCAGCTAAAACTAATATGTGAAGGAAGGTTGGGTTTTACCCAGAAGAGACCTGCAGTCTGGTTTATTAAGAGATTGCAAACATCTGTGCTGGCACAAAGGCAGAGACAGTGTGGTACTAAGGGTAGAGAATTGCATCTTTAAGCTGGTTTAACATGTGACACTGGCCTGGACTCACTCACATGTGTGTCCACCTGACACATTTACATCTACTGCCTTAGCTTTGTGTCTCTCTCACTGTAACTTAAAAATATTTGCATATCAGTTATCCCTCGGCAATTTGACTGGGATTAGGATCAGAATTGGTTTGTGGGATTACAATCACTGGAGAATTTTGAGACTAGGCAAACTTTTTAACTTAAGATGTTTTAAAAGAATTCTTGCAAACAAGTATAATATAATAGCAATGAAGGAGTCATTGGGGTGTGTAACTTTCCTCCTGGAGGGTTTCTAGGAGTAAGAATAGGTGGAATCAAACTGACATGTGAACACATACTGCTGCTACCCAAAATGTAACTTTTTTTGCAGACTTCATGTTAATGGAACTCTTGTATTTGCTCAGTAAGCGTTCCAGTAACTCCACCATTGTGTGGTTAGTATGAATTGTATTGCAGCCTGAATTTTTATGTAGACTCCACCTTTTGCTACAAAGAAATCAAGTAATACCAGAAAAAATACTGAAATGTTTCATGTATTTGTCTCGAGTCATATACAAGTGTGGCTTTTCTGGGTTAAGAAGTTCCTGCCCTGTTTGTTATTTACCTTGCTCTGGAACTTACTGAACCTCACCAAAATAGATCCTGTGAATACCGCTGATCCACTGCAGAGGAAGTCCAGTCAGATTGTTTTCCACCATAATTCATGCTCACAAAAAGCTGTCTCTATCTCGTACCTTATAGCGGTTGGCTTATTGCTCTCACAAACAACAAGAAAAAAATTAACAAACATGACTTCAATAAGCTGGCCTCGCAAAATTGCACTGTAAACTTATCCCCAGTGATCAAGAAAGCTGTGAATAATGAAAGGCATTCTCGGTTAGAACTGGCTGAAGATAAACATGAAGAGTACTTGAAATGTGTTTTATTGTTAGTGAAGGAAAATGTAGGGTCTTTCAGCAAGCAAAGCAGCTGGGCTTTTCATTATGTACTAAAAAAAATAATCCATTTGAACAATCCACTACAACAGAAGATGATAAAAGTAACAGCTTATTTTGTATCTAGAGACAGAAAAATTATTTTCAGATGTTACAGCTAGGAAAACCTCACCATGCTTTTGGGCTTTGTTTTTTGCTGCTTTCTTTCTTTCTTCTTTTTTTTTTTTTTTTTAAGGGAGAGGGTGATAAGCAGGTGGACAGATCTTTTTTGTTTGTTTTGGGGGTTTTTCCAATACAAAAAATGGTACAAAGTTACCTCTCACTACAAACCACACTTGTCTAAACATCCTTAGTTCCTTAACTGCAACAACCCTTTTACTTAAAACTTAAATTTTCACTTAACATTATAAAGGACACCTGAAAACTTTGCACACCTGTTCACACTGGAAATGAAAATTGCTATTCTGCTAGTACAAGTCCTGTCTGGAATTTAAGTGTAATGGTGTAGCTGCATCTACAGTTTGTTTGCTGGAGGGCTACTTTACAGATGGTGCTATAGGAAATATAATACCTGTAAGCCCACTTCTATGTGAAGAACACCCTCGATTATCTTCATTTAGGGTACATTTCACTTGAAATATACTAGTTCTGAAAACAAAATTGATGAGGGGTGTGAGCATTCTCAGCTGTTTCAGTGAAAAATCATTTGGCTTAGCTTAAATCTGTCTTGCAGTCTTCGCATACTGTTTTTCTAACAGGAAGCGTCTTGCTGGGGAGTTATTCCTGGCAATCATGTAGTAATGTCCTCGTGTAGCTGTCCTCTTTTTTTAGTCAAATTCCACTGATCTTGTTGCATACCTTTTATATATTTTTCCTTTTGTCATTTACTATCTTACCTGCAGTTATCAAAGTGTAGTGCTCATGATAAATTATTTTGAGAGATTTAATTTCGAAGCATATGATCTCCCTAATCTTGAATGACAAGTTATGTTTTTTGCTGTGATGAAACATGGAAGGTTTTATTGTGATTAAAGAAGCAGGAAAATACAGTTCACTGTTGTTCAGAAATTGGATTTAACAGAAATTTGTCATGTTGAAAGATTTATTCTGAGTAAAGCTGTAGTTGTATTATGCAATTGCTATGCAGCTGCTAACAAAACATGGTGGTTTTTTACCAGATTTTCCACCTTGCTAGAAGCTTTATTTTTTTTTTTTAAATCATGTAGCACAGTCAATTATTGGAAGGGATCAAATAGCTGAAAATACTAAATTGTTCTTTTAAAGTATTCCGTCTTAACCTAGAACTGAGTAGAGTTGATTTTAGATGATTTTGCTGTTGAGCAGACTGTGTAAATAAAGTTCAAGAATTGTTAGTAACTAATTTTTTTAAAACAGTGTAAAGCTTAGGAGATCATACGTGTTTATAAAAAGGAGTAATGCTTACTTAAACTGTGTTTATTGAGTTGTACAGTTAAAGATCCTGTCATTTATGACTTTTCATTTGTATTGTAGCTTAGAACACTAAGAAGTGGTTTGTATGTGTTGGGTCACTAACATTACATGTTTGTTTCAGTGCGTCTGTTTAAAATGGACAACTCTCAAAAGTGAATGTGAACAATTTGGTTAATGATTATATCTGTGGTATGAATGATGTGGTTATCATAGTACCTAGCTTTATTCTTTGATCAGAACCAGTTTGTATTATGTCCTATACAAGGCCAAGATGGCTCTACTTCAAAGACTTTTGAGTATAAAACAAGAAATAAGGAAGCAACTGGGGGAGGGGAATGCTCTCCACTGACATAAGAGACAAAAAAGTCTCTGAATGGCCAACTGTTTTGGTACGCATTATAAAGAAAATTTTAAAGGAGGCGGATACCTCTGTTTTTCGGAATTTAAGGGGGAGCCCAAACTAAACATGAAGGAAATTTCATTGGCATAATCTCAAAAATTGACTTAGTGTTTAGGTTAAAATTAGGTGATGGAAACAGGCACAGAGTGGAAGGACATATTGTGTATGTGTGTTGACACCCCCATAGTGACGGAGGGCAGATATTATAAAGATGGACCATAGATTGTTTTGAAAGCAAAATAATATAGTTTATATAATAAGGTAGTCAGTAAAAGAAGTAACATAGAAGTAGAAGTAACATAGGAGTAGTCTACAGAGAATGACCATATCCTCTGTAATTAAGAGGAAGGCTGCTAGAGGAACAAAAAAAAAAATTTAATCTTCTTGATAGCTAGAGGGGTATGTAAGTATGGCAAAAGAAAGAG